CCTGAGTAACCCCCCCTCCCCCAACAAGGTAAGAGGGCCCCCGCCGGCCGCTGCCCCCAGGAGGGGCCGTGGTCCCGGGTGTGGTGGGGCAGCGGTGGCAGCTGGACGAGCCCTCCCTCCCACGGGCAGCGGTTGGGTGACCTCCAGCTGGAGGTGAGGGGGTCCGGCAGGGCCTGGTCCCACCTCTGCCATGCACTGGTGCCGAGTGTCTCAGCTGTGCGTGTGGCATTTTCGGAGGGAAACATGGCCAGGCCTTAGCACCGGCCAGGTGTGAAGAGGAGTGGGGCCAACGCGGGTCAGATCCACCAACGCTTGTTGGCCTGATGTGGACTTACAGGGCGGTGCAGCATGGCGCTGCGTTTCGGTTTCGCCTCTATGTTTTTCGTTCATTTTAGTCCAGCCTAGTCTGGGGAGTGAAGGCAGAAATTGACGGGACGGTCTTAGTGGTTTGGGGGTTTGTTTGTTTTTCTTTTCTGTGAAACTTTTCCATTGTGTGGGAGAGCGATGGCTTCTCTCATCTTTTGTTAAAGGTCATATTTTAGTGTCAGTTTCTGTTGCCGAAATGGCTCATGAAGCAAGCGGTAATGTGGCTGGAGGAACAACTCCTTCTGTTGCCTGGATTTATTTACTGGAGGATGATAGTGACTGGTGAATGTCAAAACTATTCATCAGCCACTCCAGCGCAGGTCGGTCTATATCCAGGGTACACAGTCTGCTGAAAGGCCAGAAAAGAGTACATTCCAGTTTGATGAAACTCCAATATTTACCTAATTCTTATCTTTTGAAAAGGTTAGAATGTAAGAATAATGTGGTTTGGAAGATAGAAATTGTTTTGTCTAAAGGGTTCTGTAGGTTTCCTGCTGGAAACATTATTTGCAGAATAAATAAAACTATAGAATTAAATGGATAATACTACAGAGGAGAAAAGGATTTGTGAAAGAAAATAAGGTATTATAATGCATGGTTGCTTCAGAGTTCAGAGCGAAGTGCTTCAAAGTTTTTTGATGACCCAAGTTGCCTGTATTTTCTTTAATGATTTGAAGTCTGATTTTTCGGAAAGACCGAGCAGTTGCAGTTGACCTTCAGCTTGTGGGCACTTTTTACCTCTGAAAAGCTTATGAAGGTATGGGAGCAAGGTGATGGGGAAATCTGCAGGTCTGGGTTTACAGAAATGTGAGGAATTAAAATTGAGAATGAAGTTTCTGCTGTAGGGGGCCTGGATGTGAGGATAACGAGTAAAATTCAACTGGTATAACAACGTGGAGGTGCAGATAATAAGACTGATAAGACAGTAAGTTTCAGGACTCCGGTTGTTTAATGGCTTGGTGATAGAGGGCCACTACTCACTTCTCAAGTACAGCACAGTTGACGAGTTTGAGATATTTATTTGTTCTCTTTTCCTGAAACATCTGGCTGATGACATTGTCAGAGACAGACAGTGTATCACATCTGATAGGACAGTAGCCAAATCTAACAAAACATCTGTGAACATCTAGTACAGCATCTTCCAAAAGTTACTGTATCATTTCAGAGAGGTTTTTTTCCCTCCCTTTGAAGTGATACATCATTGGACTGACACCCTTCTGAAATTACCATTACTTGTCCTATCTAAAAGGACTTCTCTGAAAGTTCTGGCTTATCGGTGTAGCTGCAGCACATTACCCACCTCCATAGCTACGTTTCACTTCTTCCTTCTGACTCTGTGTGTGTATGTTTACAGTCACCAATTCCGTCTTACCAAGTGGATCCTCTACCTTCTCTCTTCTATACTTCCTCCTTAGGAATTCTAAAATTTCTAAGATGCCAGCATATGACATCAAGGAAATTCAAATCTTTGGCGTTGATTTCTTCTTTAGCTCACCTTATTTTAATTTGATGGGCCTGATAATAGCGTGGATTAACTGTCAGGGCAAGCTCTTCTTACACAGAAAGCATCACTCAGCTTTAATTGGTTTAAATCTAAATGCAGTATTTTGAAATAGAAAGAGGAACCAAGCTTCCTTTCCTAGTTTTATTTCAGCCTGTGGTGTCAACGTATTTATTTTGGATGATAGATGTGTATAACATCATTTTTTTTTTACAGCAATAGAAAAACTTTCTCCATCTCCTCAGTGTGAATCACTTCACATCGTAGCATGTTGTAAGAAACCATAAAGCTGGCAAGATTTGAGTGTGTGTTGCTCAACATGTTATTCTGAATGCCACCCACTGTAGCAATCCATCTCCAAAATGGCTTAAAGGGAATAGCAAAAGATCACATCACTGTACGTAATTCATTGGATATTGTTTAGAGAAAGAAAAATGAAATATTGTATTCTTTCGTTTGGGAAAGAGCCATATTATGTCTCTTTTTAAAAAAAAAAAACAACAACAAAACTTTAGAAAATTGTGGATATAATTTAAGCAACCCGTATTATACTTTATATATAGAATATGCAGTGTACAGACTTCTGCATGTCAAAAGAAACTGGATGTAGTCTCTGCTGTGCACAGGATTAAAGAATCAGCTTGAGGTTTACGTCAAGTTTGTTGTCTACATTTATCACATGCCCATCTACAGATGGTCACGTGGATATTCTGGAGCAGGGCACTAGACACTGACCTATTTGATATCAGTTTGCAGTTCTGGTGCTGCTGAGCTGCTAACTAGCCTTCTGCTTCCCTCCATGGCTTACATGGAGAATGCCATCAACTTTTCCTCTTAATATCTATGAATGGAAAGTAGTATCTATGAATGGTGGAGCACGCTTGTGAGTGTATGTATGTATACATGTATGTATATGCATTTTACTTGTTTCCTGAAGAATACTTCATGTGTTCAGTTATGTATTTCTCAGACAATTTTGGAGTTTTATTTGAAAACGTCCCTGAGAACTGGAAGTGCTGCTCTTCTGCCTTGTTTATAGCCTTTTGCTAGCTGCCTGAGCTGTAGACGTGTCAAAAGATCAAAAATGAGTATTGGATGTGGATGTGGAGATGTTAAAAGCATCCTTTTGCTGTCCTTCCAGTGTTATTGCTGTATTTTCAGATGAAGGGTGAAACAACAGAGTGGGAAGGATATCCATTGGCATGGTAAATTTTAGTTTAACTTAGTTTGATTACAGTCAGCAGCAATGACTAACAACTACTTAGCAGGGCTTAATATAAATCTCTTAAAGACGTGCAAACTTTGAATTGAAGCCATGTGTGGGGGTGACTTCAGACATGGAGAATTATCGCAAACCATCTTGATTATTTCCACGGCCTCATGGAAGTATTTCCATGTCCAATTAGAACAAGGCCTCACCTCCTCAAATTGCATCTTAATATATATTATTTTTCAGGTATAAACCAAGGAATATAACTGTAACTGAGGAGAACTCTAGAGAAGTCAGTTTTTGTTCCATGTTGGTAATGCTCCTTAATACTCAAAGCTTTCTGTTTTAGTTTCACGCCTGCTGTTGCTGGCTGATAGCCTTAGAAGTCTCTTACATCTAAGAAACTTCTTGTGGAGGTGATGGGCCCGAATGCCCTTCAAACAAGAACCCGTGGTACCTCTCCGAGTCAAGTGAAGCATCTGTGTCATCTCAAAACATCTAGCTGCTTTTAAAAAATTCTCCTTGATGGTTGTAATTCTGTCCTTAATTAGGAAATTAATTATGCCCAGTGTAGGAATAGTATTAATATTCTTTTGCCATGTAGAAATTTTGGGGATGGGTCTGACAGCAGAAGGAAACCAAAATGAGCAGCCCCCCTGGGTTGAAGTGAAGATGAACGAAGGAGAGCGCAGCACTGACCTGAACCAGCCGGATCAGAGGAAGTAGAGCCTTTACCTCCATACGGAGACACTTCTTGCCTTGGCAGGCTTGTTGCAAAATGGATTATGTCCACACTGGCTTTGAGCAGGAGTAATGTCACTAAATGTCACTGTGGTAGGGAGAGCAGAGGAGCACCAATTTTGTCAATATAAAGACAAGTAGGGTACCTTGTTGTGCAACATGCCAAGAGAAATTAAGTATTCTATTTATCTTGAATATAGATTAAGTGACATTTAATAGTTTACTGGAATTTCATTACTATTTCTAATTGAAATAAATGGCCTGACCTGTTTCTGGAGGAACTTTATTCAATTTTTCATCTGCAGAGAATTGCAAATACATTAAAAATCACTGAAACCATACATGCATTAAAAGCTCCTGCACCAATTAAGATGATTTGCTTAGCCTCAGTAAAGTTATCCTCATGTAGTTTTCAGTATTTATTAGGGAGGATAAAACTGTAGTGTGACATATGTATATGTACGTGACCTGTTTGTCACTCACTGTGCTGTTTATGATTATCAGCATGCTTGGAAAACAAACACTAAAAATTCAGCTGCATTTGAGGTCATAATCTCAAGAGTTCAAGCAGATGTAGAAAAGTAAGAAGTCAGATCCAAGTGAGTGTCTGCTTAAACACCCAACCGCATTTTTTTAAAATTCTGTGCTGATGATATAGCACAGATTTGTGGTTCTGATTAAATCTTTGTTTAATCCTTGCCAGTACAAAATGAGGAATATTTCACATAAGTTAAATGTTAAGAGATAAAGATGCCAGCAATACTGCTTTGAAATACACTGGTTCAAGCTGAGTCTGGGGCTGGATAATGTAGTCAGCACTTTAGATATCTACAGAAGTGAATTCAGTGAATTAAAAATACTGTGCTTTGAAGAAATGGCAACACTCACCCATACTAGAATTAAACATCAACCTTTTTCTAAAGACCTGGCTGCTTTGGAATAACTGCATCAACTCTGATTAGCAGAGCGTTCTCAAATATGCCTTGGGGAAAGCTGCCTATTGACAAAAGTACTAGTGCATTAAGTAGTAACAATATTTTCATGGGAATAAATTAGCAAAGCTACAGGCAATGTTCAGGAAGCGAAAAGGTATTTTATATAAGAAACCACTGAATTTACCTTTGACTTCATAACTCTGTTTTCTTTTAAAAAAAATATAGCACTTTATATATTGGGCAGTTGTTTCGAAGTCCCAGTTTATTAAACTCACAGAAAACAAACTGGAAAAGATCTTCTTCCAAGGAGACATTAAGGCAAAATGTTGCAGAATATGAATAATACAGTATTGTGCCATATTTGCATTTGAATTGTTCCTGAATATTTTACAGTGTATTCAATCTCCTCTGGAAATGTTGAATGTAAATCTTCCTGGGTTTCATTATCTCTTAGTTTTGGGGGGAGGAAGATCCCATTAGGGTATATTAAAGGTGGAGTCCTGAGAGAGGATAGTATCAACTCGGCAGCCTTCTCGCTCCCTTTCTATGGTCGTGCTCAGTTCCCCAGCGTATTTTCTCAGCTCTGGTCGTGGTGGGGGCTGGCGGAGGAGAAGGGGAGCGTGCGGCTCCCAGCTCCGAAGAACTGTGCGGGGCTGAGCAGCCTGCCGCTGCGAGCAGCAGCAGCTGCCCTGTAAGGGGGATCCTTCCTTCGTCCTCCAAATGGCTCTAAGTTTGAAGGAAAAGCTGAACTTACAGGTCCCTGGCAAAAGAGAAATGCCTGCCTTCTTGTAGTTCCCTGAAGGCTTTTTCTTCTCCCAAAGGACATGATTCCGTCAGACCTCTGTGGCGCAAAGCTGACCTGAATTTTCTCACATAATGCGGGGTTTTGTGTGTGTGCTGCACATCAGTAGGGACACCACCAGTGGTGCGGCAAAAGTCTAACTACCAGTTTCACTCCTGCACACCGACATACCTGTCTTGTTTTAAATAAGTTTGGTGATCATAAGTCTTTCTGAGGAGAAAACACATTTTAAGGGAAATATTTCTGTTGATACCCCCACCCCCGGAGCTTCTGTCTCCGCCATATGTAGGATGCTGAAGCCCATGCTGTTACACAACCATGTGTGAGGAATACCAAAGGAGCCAAGATAATTTCTCACCAATGAAGTAATCTTGTGAACCATGTTTCTAGTTTTGTTTATGACCAATATCGCCATCTCACATATACCATAATACGTAGGGCAGCCGTGTCCCTGATTTCAGATGTGAAATAGAAGAATTTGCCTAAAGTCATGAAAAATTTTAGACAGATGAAGCATTGGGACCCAGTACTGCAGCATCTTTGTCCATTGCCTTAAGACTAAGGGTAAACTTCCTTACGTGTAAGTAACAGAAAAGCGATCAAGGAATAACCAGTAACTTCCCGATACGGCAATTAGTTATGCCTGTTAATATGGCAATTAGCTAGGCCTGTTAATTTTGCCTGTTAGTTATATCCTGTGTGCATATGTCATTATGAAGAGTCCCTATCCACTAAGGTATATAAATCCATATGTATAATCTGAAACATACTAACAGCTATTACAGAATTTTTGAAAAGTGCAGCAGAGGGGTTTGAAGTGACAGGAATATTGTTATTGCAAGTTAGGAATGAATTTATTATATCACTTACAGGAGCTCACTTGCTGGTTTGAGACTCTTCCAAAGCAGGAGAGGACGGAATGAGTTAAGACTAGATTGGTAGGTTCAACTTTTAAATTTCTTGCTTTGTCAGTTTGAATGAGCCCCTTTGCTTGGCGTTTGACAAAGCTATCTGGTTCAATCTCTTTGTCTAGGCTAATATGACATCTCATATTGATGTGCTTATCTTGACAAATGTGGTGGCTTGTACACTCTGCAGGAATCGGCGTTTATTAAAAGAGCACGGCAGTGCTATGTTTAGCACTGCTGTGTTATTTTGGGACCGGCTGTGCAGCAGGAAGGGGAGAATCAGGTGAACCTTCCCTGACACTGGCAGTCTATGAGCCAGGCTGGCCCAAAACCATCTCCAGTGACTCATCTAGCCTCTTCAGTTTGTTCCTTGCAGACAGTAAAAAACTTTTCTTACTGCAAAACAAAAGAGAAGTGGTGTGTCACGTGAAACACAAGTAGAAGGGCCTTCAAATAGTATCTTGTCCTGGTTCTCACAAACTCAGCAGGATGTGAATGACAGTGATGCATGCCTCTCACGGGAGTCTTGCTCCTCCAGTTGGTCTCATTCCCAGTGAAGTCAGTGGGGGTTTTGCCAGTGATTTCATTTGATGCTGGGTTTGGTGTGAAGTGTTCGAATTTAAATCAGCTAACAAGCACACGCTTACTGACTGTAATTGTTGTGGTGGGTGAGAACAGGATGACATGAGATGAGAACGATAACTACAGCAGTAGCATGCAAAGAAAAGAAATCAGAACTTTTCAGAGCTTCAAATACCACCATTAGCAGCTTGAACAGCAGCAAGGCAGACTTCTGAACACAGATCTTGCAGGTTTGTGCTAGAATACATAGTTGGTAAATGTTCTCTGAAATCTACATTAATGTGTAGTGGCTGGAATCAAGTATACATAGTTGTTTACAGCTGTCCTCTCAGTAACTTAAAATCAGGGAGAAATGGCAATAATATACAGCAAAGAAAACTTACAACTGGGTACAAATGTCTGTCTTCCACAAGTTCTTTTTTCCCAAGAAGAATTGCTTTGGTTTTAAGGATCCACACCCTGATGCAGGGTTGTGGTATTATCACTGCATGTGATGTCAGTGGGAACTTTATGGGGAAATCAAATCCGGTTCTGATGTCTGTGCCTCAGAAACCACAGGGTAAATTTGGTGTGGTTAAGAAAAGAGTTAAAAAGCTGGAAGAAAACTTGCCTTTCAGTCAGAGACTAAGAAAAGCTTGTACTGTTTTTTTCCCAGAGTTAGTTAAGTGGCCACTTGGCCATGCTCTCACATGCATGGAAGGAAATATTTTTATTAGCAGAAAAAGGCATTGAGAACTTCAGTGGCTGAGAGCTGGAGCTAGGCTATCCATGCTGTGAAGAAGGCCAAAAGCCAGAATAAACCAAAAACTTAATGAGTCAATATTCCATAGAGAAAAAAACCCAAACTCAAAAACCAAAACTAGGAGCGGGCGCCAGTTCTGCATCAGTGCCCTTGGTTTGTGGATAAAGAAGTTTGCTGGGAGAGATTCTTCTGCACCAGCAAGCTCCTGTCCCGTGGGCTCCACATCTCCCAGCTCTGCTGTCCCAGAGCCCTCTGTGTACCCCAGAGCTACCCATTCCCTGACTTCTCCTAAATCATCTCCCCTAAGTCTGCCTCAAGGCACACTATCTTCTTCTCCTCTAGGGGCAATCTCTTTCCCACCCAGGAATGTACATCTTTTGCCTTAGGTCTCCCTAACCTTTTTCTCCCCAAGCTACGTTCACTCAACAAAGCTGAGGAGTGTTAACCATGATCTGTTTGGGTGGAAAGACGGAATTGATGCAGCGATACCTCTTTGTACAGCTTGAGACAATGCTGTTTTTCTCACTTGATCCCATCCCACCCCATCCCAAGCCCTGTATGAGTTTCATTCCATCTCCCTCTCCTGCTGCCCTAGAGTCCCAGGCTGTAATTTGGATCCTTCTCTCTCCTCCCCCAGGCTCTGATGAGAAGAGAGACTTTCTCTCCCATTCAGGAGAGTGGGGCCATCACTTCTCCCTCCTTCGTGCTCAGTGCCCCCAGCTGCCTTCCCATTGAGCAACACAGGTGGCTGAGCCCAAGTTGTCGTCTCATAGAGCCAAAGCTCTAGACTTGGATCTTAAAAATTTCGATCTTAAAACTGCCACAAGCTGCAGTTATCCAAAGTCCCTCCAGCCCCAGTTCTGTGGCAGAAAGAAGGGAGCGATCTAGGAAAAGGAGGATGCATTATAGCTTTCGAACATATGTGTGGAACTGACTTGGTCTTTTTGAAGCAAGACTGAATGTATTGTTAAAAAAATAAGTTGTAACCTCATCAAAAGTTATGAGTTCAGTGCAAAAATGTTGAATGATTTTTTTGGCATAATTTTTTAGTGCTAATCATGTGATCATGATAATTGCTTCTAATTGCAGCATCTCTGAATTCTTGTCCGATTGTTTAGTGGTTGCCAAAATGTTTTTCTTCAAATTTTGTTTAAAACTGTTTTACTAATAACTGCTTGTGTTATACTGTATTGAGTATTTTTATACAAGCTGATCTCTGATCTTTTGTATACCTCGTAGTTAAGGTTTCCCCCTAAATATCCAGCTATTAGTTTAGCAGATGTTTTTCCGTAGCTAGGGAATGAGAAGTACCAGAAAAAAGAATCATCAAGAATCGAATTTGCCCTTGAGAATGTCTGTTACAGATCTTCATGTGCTAGTTCCTAGGCTAAAAAATTCAACCTAAAGGTAAGAATGAGTGACTATTTCAGCATGTGAGTCTACATTCTCTCTCATATCAGACCAAATGTCACAAGGAAATCTCATTTTAAAACACTATAATGAAGAAACTCAAGGGTTAATAAAGAGAACTGTGGAAAGGTTAAGGTGTTAGCATTCAAAAAAGGGGAAAAACAGAAAATAAGGAAATGTGACTTAAACTATACCAAGAGATCTGGAAAAAAAGTCATTTTGATTTCACCTGTTTAGTTATTTTCACGTGAAGAAAATTTATTGGACTTTTGCTATGATAACTTCTAAAGAAGATTTTGCCAAGAGAGTATTTCAGAGGGAGGATTTTCACATACACTTGGTATTTACACAATGATAAAAATAATGCTCAGTAGCTTGTGGAGTAAGACGGAGCAGGAGGAAGTTTGACAGGAATACCACTAGCTGGTTTCTGTCCAGGTCTAAAAATTACATACAGTAAGGACATACTTCATGCAGCCAGTGACTAGAAGTAATAAAATGTGTGTGTGTCATTGCCAGTAGTGTGAAAACCAAACGAAACCCTCCAAAGTCACTTACTTTGTATCTCTTTAAGAAGATTAGTATCCCCAGCAAAGGTTATGGCAAAATTCTAAAAAGTTGACTTTATTTCCCAGCTCTGTGGTCTAGAAACTCAGTGTTTGAAGCAGCATTGAAAAATTCTCCTTTCAGTAGTTCCTTGAGTCCTGATGCAATTATTCCCCAGGAAAAGGATTTTATTATAGATAGAAAGGCATGCACGTGCCGCATACTGAAAGGAAGGGAACTAACTTAATTGCTATCAGATAGCTCAGCTAATCGGCTGAGCCAGGCTTGCTCCTGGGTACTCCCAGGCTGGTGGCCTCAGTGCTCATTTACTTCTATAAGTATGAGTAGCACTGCGTAGGATTGAACCAGTTTGGAGTATTTTTCCAGTGGAGTGTAGATAATCTGCAATACCACTTGTCCCAGGTAAGTTTTATGCGTATCAATGAAAGCAGAGATTATCATAATTAGAGGTAGTCTGAATCTCTTGTTGAAATTGGCTTGCACTGATACTGTAGCAAGTATGTGATAGTGTGAGTGCTGTGCATTTCATAAAATACTACATCACTTACCGAATTGGGTGGTTTTCATATGAGCCTTCAGTAGCAGGTATTAATTCACCTATATAGAAAGTTGTAAAGGATTGAGGTGTTTCCCATAGGAATTATTTCATCTTAGAGCTGGAAACTTACTTAAGAGAGAATTTAT